CGTATATAACAGCATATCAATGCATTTTTGCTCAATAACGCGTTAAGTGATATATTTTTATAAAAAAGTCATGAATTTATAAAAATCAAAGGGGCCCCACCAAAGCACCTACACTAACCGCTCCTTCGCAGGAGCTACCTTAATTGCAGCGTGAGAAGGATAATCTGCTAATTATCGATGCAGTATGAGAAGCCTGACAATTTATTCTGATTCGTGTGGCAGCTATTAATTTTAACTGATAATCATTCTTTCGTCGTCTCAAGGCTGCTATGTAAATTCGACGCGTGATGTTGGAGTATCCGAGACGGAATGTTCCCAACGTATTAACTATTTACTAAAACCTGCATACCGCAGGTAATGCAATTGATACACAAATGTATATCAATCGTTATAAATATAAGCTTAATCGTCAGTTAAATATAAATGTAATAATCATCAACTTAATAATAGAGTAATTGAATATCGATGGTGCCCGGTGTGTGTGTGTGTGTGTGTGTGTGGCGAGCGTGGCATAAAAATCCGAGTTCAAATCCAGCCAGGATACCGCTGGTTTTTTCAGACGCCACTTCTCGAAAGGGAAGTGGCAACCACCGAGAGTATCTCGCCACACACACCCCTTTAGCGGCTAACGAGAGGGGGGCCGAGAGGATTGCCGGTATAAGCAACCGACCAGCTTGCTGGATAGGGCACTCTCTTGTTCTGAGCGGTGAGAAATCACCCTCAAATGCGGATGAACTATTTAAAGTAGTCAACGGCATAGCATCAGGCAGGCAAGGGGAAACCACCTGATTATTTCCCAAGACAGCACCTCATGTATGTATGACTCTTCGAGAGTCTACTCATGAGACGCCACCACGCCCTATCAAGGGCAAATGATTGAGGCGGCGGATATATACTATATTGAGACGGGAAACTTATAGTCAACCCAACTGGCTAATTATTTAATCAGTTTATTACTAAGAAGATTATAGATTGTTGCGTATGTACCAAACAATAGACGCGTTAATTGGAATTTATAAGAGTTAATTTGATTTTCTTTTCTGTGTATTTGCACGCACACGTGACTGCTTTTTCGTTTTCCTAGAAAGAAAATTTTCTCAATCTCCGAATGTGCCATTGAACAAAGCTGAGTTATCTCGAGCAGAAGAGATTTGAATGACGCGATTAGAATAACTTTTGTATTTCAGCGCCCTCGTTGAAAAGTGAAGAAAAGGGTTAACGTCGCAATGAGCACTCCACGCGATTTATGATATATAAGGCCGCTCTGTAAATTACCACCTCCCTGTAATTACAACCAATTTGGGCACCTGGCAGAGGTGGCCCCGTCGTCGGGAATCTTTCGCCGAGCGAGGTCTAAATCCCGAGGTCATTTTCCGAGGTAAATGCCAATTAGCCGGCCGGTTAGCGCGGCATTGCTCGACTCTCCGGCTGGAGTACATTATTTGACGACGTGTAACACCCAACCCCTCCCCTCGAGTTAGGTTAACTACGAAATAACGTCCGACGATGTTACGAGCGGTTGACGAAGTTTCCCTCGCGCACGAGTATATACCGAAGGAGCGACTTGTTCCTGAGCCGGCTCTTCCGCTACGCAGAAGAGCGCGATAAAGAAAAGATGAATGTCAAGGGTACCCGTGACGTTGAAGGAAGAAACGGGAAGTTTTATGGTTTAAGCCACTTGTATCTTGTCGCTTAATTGGTTTTGAATTTAAATCCGGCCGAGAGCGACAACTCGTCCGTAACGACCATGTTTTCCATGACGCAAATAAGTGATTCATAATGAAATTTGTTTTCCGCGTTGACGCAGGTAGGAGACCCATAACTCTCCGCGAATCCGATGCCGCGGCAGTACTAACGACACCCCGACCGGCGCAGTAATAGCGTTTTTATCGGCGTTCTCCACGCAAATTAGCATCAGTCGACTTGGTTAAGGCGATCGGAACCGACTCGTCGGATTCGGAGAAATCCCCTCCAGTGAGAAATGATTCGTTGAAACTATGTCGAATCAACATTGTTTCGACGTCAATCGACGAGTCGTTTCTTGCTGGGCCCAGCCCAGTGAGAAATGATTCGTCGATCAACGTCGAAACGACGTCGAATCGACATCGACACCGTCGAATTGACGTCGATTCGACATCATTTCGACGTCGATCGACGAATCATTTCTCACTGGGAGTTAAGGCCTGTGTCCACGCGATGCTAGAACTTGGTCCAAGTCCTAGTTCCGA